ACATTGTAGAAAATATTCTTAGTTTCATCTTCAATTTTCGAAATGCAATCTTCATCGCTTTCAAATATTTCTAATAAATCTCATATGTGTTGCATCTTCAGTTCATAGGGACTCATTCTTTTTACCATAATGCAGTTACAAATTTTTAAGGATTTAATGTCAAGTACTTTAAAATCACTTGCGAGTAGTATATTAGTATATTTACTGTTACACTCTAGAAATTAATTTCTGTACTAAATATTCAGTCAGAAAAACACGGACAGGCGCGTGGGGTGTGTCATACCCCAGTTCCAACAAAATACCGATAAATCTTTTTCTGAAACACACAGGCAAAGAAAAAGAGGTTCTGAAAGTCAACCACAACTAGAAACTCAGCTACTGAAAGCAGCACAGAATTTCAGTTTCACAAGTTAGGAACATTCCACTTTTATATAGGGTTGGGGTATGATACACCCCACGCGCTTTCCCGCGGGTTAAAGTTTATTAAGGAAAAATGATTAATAATTTCGAAAGATTAGAATCTCAGAAATTTTCTTAAAAAAATTTCAGCATAAAAGAAAAAGAGTTAGAATGAAGAGAAAACTATAGCAAAACAGAAACCCATAAATGGTCAGGTTATACTGACGCTGCTCATTAAAACGGGATACTTCACGTTCTAAATTAGGAAGGAGTAATAAAAGAATGCACGCCTGTTTGAGTTAAAAACATAAAATAGACAGATTAAAAAACATTAATAGATGGTGGTGTTAGCCTTTTCCTACAGACAGACTACTGCAACTTAGAACTCTAATTCAACATATTAAATTCTCTTCGCCTTTATTCGATTTATCAGCTCTAATATAATACATACTACAAAACTCTACAGTCAAATTAACAACAATATAGTAGCATTATGCGAAGGCAATTCGCAAACTAACCTCCACTGCGGCGGGGCGCTTATAGTAGTGGGCGGAGCACACCGTTGCTACATTAACCCTTTAACCTAGGATTTAGATTCCAAGATGTTGGGCCGAAATTTTGTACAAGCTCGCGCAGCGTTCGGGACATTTGCACGACTTGTGTAACACGCTAATACTGGCAATCGTAAACATGACGAATTATGTCATTTTCGAAGAAAGTATAGGCGAATAATTATTGATGATACATCCGATGACGATCAACTACCAGAGTCCTGGCTTTGGAAAGAAATAAGAAATAGTCCAAAAATATGGGACTATACGATGACTCCTGGCATAAGAGAGGAAGCCTTATGTCAATTAGGAGGAAGTAGAGGAGAATTTGATATATTTAATCTAGTATTTGATGACATATTTTGGAACAATATTGTTACCGAAACGAATTAGTATGCAGATCAAGTACGAGAAAATCCACATAGAACACGAGTGTAAAAAGTGTAAAGTTCCGTTACATGTACCAGAATGCTTTGAAATACATCATACCGTTACAGATTACTAATTTTGCACTTTGGAGTTTTGTATAAGTAAACATTTTGTAATACTTGCATCTACCACAATTATTGCATCACACTGCAACTGCGTATCAAATATTCCAAGTAATATTCACTTCTGGCCCGATCACTGTACGCGGGCTATGCCCGTAAAAGTTAGGTTTGGCCCGTCCATCGTACGCGGGCTATGCCCATCATTGTAGATTAAGAGGTTAATTGTAGATTAAGCAATCTGTGCCTAGTGGAAGTGCCCCACTGTCGCTCGTGGACTGATTATAACTTCACAAAATGTGCGCTGCTATTGAAAATCCCGTCAAATGCATGGTAGAAAGAGTAATACGAATTCTGTTAGGGTACAGTCAAAAGAAAAACTTCGTATTTATGAGGTTCGTGAACATTTCTCCTGCTAATATACATGCCATCGATTAATGCGTTCCATAACTATCCATTAACAGACTAGGGTCTTTAACGTTACTCTTCTAAGGTATCCCGCTAGGTTCGGAACACCTTTTTTGAGAAAATTATTTAAGAAAGAATTTTTTTAATATTCTGAAACATCTTCGATAAAAAAATGTGGTTACTTTTCCGTTTTGCCGGCGCAAATCTTCCCAAGCAGACTTTATTGCTGACAACACACAGTATATACATAACAAATGTTTGTTCTAAGAAATTTTTATTTTGAAGTCATAAAAAGTTTAGGTAAAAGTATATTTTAGGGTATCCCTTGGCGATTTTTGGCGGTACATGGATAATAAGTTTGTGCAATTCTTTGACTTATTATTTTGGCTTTCATAGTTGCAATTTTTGCGCTGAAAATCGCCGCTGCACAAACCCAAAATAACAAGACAAACAATTGCACAAACTCGGTATCCATGTACACATAGACTTATTTTTACTTAGAAAAAAATCCCCGAATAGCACAAAAATGGAATTGCCCACACCCTTGACATTATCCATGTACACGTCGACCTATTTTCACTTAAAAATATCCAAGAATTGGTAAAAGTATAGTTTAGGGTACCCTTTGGCGAAACTTGGCGATTTTTGGCGGTACATGAATACCGATTTTGTGCAATTCTTTGACTCGTTATTTTGCCTTGCGAAGCGGCGATTTTTGCGCCAAACATCGCCGCTACACAAAGCCAAAATAACAAGACAAACCATTGCACAAACTCGCTATCCATGTACATATCGACTTATTTTCACTTAGAAAAAAAATCCCCGAATTGCACAAAAATGGAATTGCGCACTCCTTTGACTTTATCCATGTACACGTCGACCTAGTTTCACTTAAAAAACATCCCCGAAATTGCACAAAAAAGTGGCATTGCGCACTCCTTTGACTTTATCCATGTATACGGCGACTTATTTTCACTTAAGAAAAAATCCCCGAATTGCACAAACTTGCATTGCACACTCCCTTTACTTTGTCCATGTACACATCGATATATTTTCACTTACAAAGTCAAAGGAGCACCAAATTCTACAATACAGGCAAACAAAAAATACATAATCTCAATAAAATAAATTTTAAACCAAACAATAAAGTAACATAAAAAAGGAAAAACATGTTATAATTTAAGCACTACCAAAAGCAAATACTCACTTACCATGAGTTTCGAGTTCGCTTCGTACACCAGAGCCATGTAAAAATCAAAATATCAATCATACTCAAATGACTTTTTTCAAACCAGGTTCTCTTTCTGATCGAACGCTTCACATAGTGACCATCTGAACCTTTCTTCCTACAAACCCATTCAAATCCATCTAAACGGTTTTAACACACACTACAAAAACGCTTACAAAACATCCCATGATACAAAATTTCCCAGAATCATGCACCCGATTACGTCACAATAGAGTTTCCATAACATTCAACTACTCAGGCTACCATAAATGAAACAAGAACTTGGCGATAAATCAAACAACAACTTCGCCATAATACAAGGGGTACCTTAAAATCCACTTTAAGGTACCCCTTGTACTATGGCGATTTTTGGCGGTACATGGATACACAATTTGTGCAATTCTTTGACTTGTTATTTTGGCCTGCGTAGCGGCGATTTTCGATGCAAAAATTGCCGCTACGCAAGCCAAAATTAACAAGTCAAAGAATTGCTCAAACTCGGTATCCATGTACACATTGACCTATTTTCACTTAAAAAAAAAATCCCCGAATTGCAAACAAATGGCATTATGCACTCCCTTAAGTTTGCCCATGTACACATCGATATATTTTCACTTAGAAAGTCAAAGGAGCACCCAATTCTACAGCAGAGGCAAACAACATATACGTAATCTCAATAAACTACATTTTAAACCAAACAATAAATTAACACAAAAAAGGAAAAAAAACCTGTTATGTATTTTAGCTCTACACAAAGCAAAACTCCCTTTACCTTATTTAGAAATTCGTTCGTCTTCAGTCTGTGGCACACAAAATTCCTTAACAGCATCCAAAAACTTCCTAAAATTATCTGAACTACAATCCGTAAATCGGTGTCGCCACAGAAATTCACAAAAATAAGAGTAAAAAAAAATACTACGTAGTTCCGGACTACGGCTACTAAGTAAACATTCATTTACACAATTAATTCACTCAACTAATGCACTTTTCCCCTTTCGTTCCAAATCCTACAGAAACTTCAAATTAATCCTACTACATTTAGCCATTATATCGTCGAAACAATGAACCAAGCAATGTACTTCCTAAGCAAAACACACCACAAAAAGCTCTTACAAAACACTCCATGATTCAAAATTTCCTAGAATAATGCAAACGATTACGTCATAATAGTGTTTCACATTACCATAAATGAAACAACTTGGCGATAAACGAAACAATAACTTGGCGATAAATGAAACAATAACTTCGCGATAATACAAGGTACCAAACAAATAAGTGGGCGATTCTGCACTGGCGCTTTTTATAAGGGTAAGAAGAATTGGATTTTTGTCAATTTTCCTTGACTTTTTAAGTGAAAATAGGTCGATATGTACATGGATAAGGTCAAGGGAGTGCACAATGCCAATTTTGCGCAATTCTGGGATTTTTGTTTTAAGTGATTTTTGTTTATGGATATTGCGTATGTACAATTCTTGAAAACGCGCCAATCAGTGGGCGATTCTGCACTTTCCCCAAGTCAACTCTAACCATTTTGTTTTTTATTTGTTGCAAATAAATTTCGAAAACTGCAGTTTTTACATCTGATAGAAATATCTGAAGTCAAATCGAAAGTGGAATCTTCTACTAACTCTAAACATGTGTCATAATGGGCAGCACAATGTTTTAAATATGTCTGCAAGTATTTCGGTGTCAATTATATGGTTTCCATATGGTTCGATTTATTGATCATATTTTCCTCTTTAATTTCTTCCATAGATTTAATTTTCGCTTCACTCTATTTATATTTTGAATAACAGTATTTAATATAGGAGTACGATGTCCATGGAATTTTCGTTTCCGAGTCACACGGTTATTTTGGCTTTACCCTTGTTAAAATTCAACTAAAATGGCAGAAAAGAAAATAAAAGATTAAATTCAATAACTTACCTAAATTTTAATGAATGCAAAACGACAGAAGCATGAATAGAAGTCAATACCAAGCATCAAAATCCAAGCAGATCGCTTATATTACGCTAGAAATAGTAAACAACATTTGATGTTGCCAAACAGTATTTCAGGAATTATAAAGGGTTGAAATGAGGCCGAACATGAAAAGACACTTAAATTATCCAAATGTCAACAACTTCCGGTTTCGAAGTAACAACTTCTGGCTGTTTTGACAGCTACCGCCTTGCACAAAATCGGCTATAATATGATTTCTATTTATCGTACAATTAAAATGAAGACGGTTTTCGAAAGCCAATATTTCAAATATTTTAATAAAAATATAAAATTAGGTATTTTCACCAAATTTTATCCTTTCAACGTAGTCGGAATCAGCTGCAATTCGAAAACATACTAATACTTACTAAGCAGATTTATTGCATTATGGCATGCGAATCCGTGTACTATTTGGAATATTTTATTTCCGAATTATAATTTATACTTAACTGCTATCCTTATCAAGAAACCGTCATCATTTTGTTCTTGCTGAAATGAGATAACGAGGTGATTATCAAGATATTAGAATGTTATTTTATGAATTCTTAAAGTAAGCTGCTTGAAATATGCAATTTGATATTTTTAATATTAACATAGTAGTTTACGTAATAATACGAATTTCGATTATTGGCTCAAAGAGACCCAGAAGGGCTACTTGTCTTGCGTTAAATCACTTAAATGCAATGTATCACTTTTTAAATTGCTGCCAAAATATTATCGCCCTGCATTAGGTTCAGAAATACTATGCAATGAAGAATCTCAATAAATGTGTGTATGTTTTTCGCACTTTGCAAAAACACTTTACCTAGAGTCATGAAATTTTCAATAACATAGTTCTCCACCAGAACATGGGAAATGGAAGCCTGAATTTGGAATTTGTTTTATTATGTATTTCATATTTTGTAAACATTTAACGAATTTTTGATTAAAAATCTCCACAATTTCAAAACGAGCAGTGGCAACAGTGTAGGGAATAAAACATTTTATTTCCAGCGCGCTACACTGTCTGTCTATAGGAAATACTTTATATATTCTGTTTTTAAATAAATTTAGACCAAAGTGGCGTTAGCCAAATTCTCTTGAAACTAGTATGTGTCTGTAAATGGGGGGGGGGAAACGCCCGTTTGGTCGTAATATAAACTCTAAAAGCTTTCAGATTTTATTTTATTCCTTTTTGATGTTTAACGCTTTGTAAAATTTATGAAATGTGTGCAAAAAGAGTGGGGGAGAGGGGGTTGTATGTGCCAACAGTGTTTAGTTTTTAAGGAGTGGAAATAGAGGAAATAAAGAATATAGATTTTCCTTAAAAATATTAAATTTAGCTTCAAATAATCTAGAAAAATGTTTTCAAGAAAATATATATAATGAAATTCGTTTTTCTGCTTACAGTTCAATTTGATCTGTAAGATTATTTTTAATCCCTTCATTTTTAAGACGCTTTACACTGAAATTTAAGGGGCCCACCAACATGAATATGTTACTGCACATAACTGAGGAACATTAATTGGAGGTTACGTTACATTTACACTAATACTATGCTTTGAAACATACTGCGCTTTGCTAAATACTTGGGTGTTTACATACATTTGTTTCTTAGGAAATATATACAAGCACCTTCCTTTTTACGATGCATTTCAAATTAACTTCAATAACGCCTTAAACATGCGTATTTAAAAATAAATATATAAGCAGAAAATTTTTATTTGAAAACAAAGTCAATAAATTATAATTACGCATATTTAAAATTAATTACACGTAAGCGAAATTCTGTTTTATTGTTCATTAATTACCTTTAATAAATTTTAAAAAGTCTCACGCTAATTAAGCATAGCTTTAACAATTCATCCGCAGGGTATTTTAAAGCATAATTCTAAGAGGTTTGTTTTCTTCAGAATGCATTGAAAATCAAAAATCAGAATAACTCGATGATAAGGCATGCAAATTTTCAAGTAGGCAATTTGTTTCCGTAATTATAAAAGACATTTCAGTGCTGGTAATAAAATTCACCGACGCATCTCTGGAATAATTGCTAAACATTGCGTGCTGGTATTTGAAAAGAGAAAAATATCGCAAGATTTAGTGCTTTTTCAGTAAAAACGATGGCTGTTCATTAACGATATATTTTCCTTAGAAAGTCGTAGTAGTGCAGTGCCACGAGAAAATGCAGTTGCAATAAGTACAGCAGTTCCCAATTAATAATTAATATAAGATTCTATTTACTTCATTTTATTCTGCTTGCAGTTTGACTAATAATGCGAAAACAAACGTCAATTAAAACATTAAATATTATTGTGAACATGTTTCAAGTTTAACGTAATTTTGAATATAAAAATGTCTAGAAAGGTTTTAATGAGTAGATGACGCTCGCTTGGTTTGAATGCTCATGAGAAGAGAACTTTTTTTTTTTTTTTTTTTTGCTTATTACGTGTTTCGCCTTAGACATTGCACCTAAAGAAAGGCATGCCTCATTGAATCCACGTTAAACGTGAGAAGAAAAACCATGAAAAGGCCCATACTGCCAACTCGTTCGCCAGAACTTGAACCCCGAACCGAACTACCAGTGTTCAGCGACTTTTACCACTCGGCCACTAGTGGGCTATTAAGAGAACTCGTACATTAAAATGACAGGCTTGTTTAAATCCATATTATCAATTTAAGGGGCTCATACACCTTAAACCCCTTATGATCTTCGAGTATGTGGTTGTTGCAAGAATTGGGATATTTTATTTATTTCAAAAGTAATTACTTCCAACTTTTTACAGCTGACTACATAATATAGCCGAGGGCCCACCAGCGGCCGAGCGGTAAAGTCGCTGAACACTGGTAGTTCGGTCCGAGGTTCGAATCCCGCGAACGGGCTGGCTGCATGGGCGTTTTCGTGGTTTTCCCCATGTGTAACGTGTATACGAGCCAGTTTGCCTTAGAAAGTCCTCCACGAAAGGCATCCCTCCCCTTAGGCAGATAGCCCTAGTGTGCTTTGCCATAATTAAATACACACCATACACACCATAATATAGCTGCTTTGGGAACTAGTAACCAGAAAGTTTGTGTTGCCACAAACATTTTTGTAATTTATTCCGCTTTGTGACAAAATTTTTCGCCAAATTTCCACCTTGCGCGCATGATATTTTAAAAATGGCTAACGGTACATACTTGAAATTGGATGGAATTCTTTATATGACCACTATTTTCTAACCGAACCAAAAATCTGATGAATATTTTATATAAAAAACTTTTATGCACGAAAACATTACAGATTTTTTTAATAAAATACATTTTATAAACTCAACTCCAACTAAAATAAAAATTTAACATGAAATTCTTAGAATTTTTGGTTCACAGTAACTTCCAAATGTTATAAAAGCTATATATTAATACGAAATAAAATTATGCAAAGAATATTTTAAAATTGCGTGAACGTGAAAAATGACGAGCAATTTTGTCACAAATCGGATTAAATTATAAAAATATTTGTAGCAATACAAACTTTCTGATTACATTCGAAAGTGCTATATTATGTAGTCAGTTGTAAAAAGTTGGAGTAATTGCTTTTTTAAAAAAATAAAATATTCCAATTCTTTTAACAGCACATATTTGAAGATCATAAGGGGTTTAAGGTGTATCAGCCCCCTTAATACCATGTTTTAAATCTGTACATGTGTTTAATAAGATATGCAAATCAATTTTATTAATAATATCTAACCTTATAAACATGTCAAATGTATTTTAAAGTAATATTATATATATATTGTCTTAATAATAAATCATTAATACTAGATATTAATAATGTTCATTCTGTTTTAATATATTTATTAAAAAATGAATTGCTTGTTTAGCTTTATTATTAATTAATATATGTTGTAAAAAAAAAAAAAAAAAAAAAAAATGCGTGCTATATAGCTCTGAAAAAAATACTAATATTTATTTCATTATTTCACTAACCGCTTTGGTGTTAGATTTTGAAAAATTTGTAAAATCCACAAAAATGTAAAAAATAATGAACCTCAAAAAAATTAGTTGTCTTGGTTTGTACGAGTTTTCACAGGAACAATTCACTGTATTTTTCTGAATGTTTTTCACTTTTTATAATTAGCATACTTGTAGACTTTCAAAACTGTGGAGATTTGTAGTTCTGCACTTTCTGCAGATGATGAAACGATATTTTAATCTGTTTCCTTCCATGTGCAATTTTACTGAAACTATTTACATTATTTTCTGAGTCATCCACCTCCACAATACTTGCATGTGAACGCCATAACTTTTACGATCACTACAACTCCTCGTCTCCTCGAACAACAACGGATCAAACAAACGAAAAAAAAAAAAAAAAAAAAAAAAACCAAATCTGAAATTTTCAGATTTTAAATACGTCCAAGGGGGTTTTTTAACGTTTGAGTGTTAACTTATTATTAATCAGGTTCTTTGCACTTAAACCATAAAATTATCAGAGCAATCCAAAATAATGTTAATTAAGCTACTTAGAATTCGATAACAGTCTCCGAGTGGAGATAAAAGTATTTTTTTTTCTATATAAACGTTGCCATTCTCGCTTTTAAAAAGTGAGTTGTAATCAAAATCGTTAAAGTTTACAAAAATAAAATCTATAATAAAACAAATTCCAAATTTGGGATTTCAGATGCCCATATTCAGTAGGATTCTCATTCAAACGTGCTCTATGTACCATTGTTTCCAATGCGAGGAAATAGACAATCATTTTGCAGATTTTATTATTTAATTCTTTAATATAATGCAGGACTCAACATTTTGTGGCAACAGTTTGAAAGTGACCGACGTTTATGAGTCCGACGCAAAATGCCAAAACGAAGCAAAGTCCTTCGGGACTGAAATCCCTTTGGACTAAAAAAAAAAAAAACTTCATTAACCGATGAATTTGGATATGGTAACTGTAGTTTTGCCGACATTGTAGCGATAAGTTACTAGCTAGGACTTTACTGTACATGGAAATCAAGAGTGTGCGCATGCCATTTTTGTGCAATTCTGAATTTTTGTAAAGTGAAA